GGGGTGAGACTGGCGTGGTGTGGGGTGGTATTCGTCCTGCCTGAGCGCAGTGCCTGTGTTCTGTCTTGACAGACCCGCGGTCGGGCAGCAGTGTGCACTGCATCGAGGTCTACAAGTACGAGGTGAGCTGGCGGCAGCGCAGAGGGCGAGGGCAGGGCCTGTACCCGGGCTCGTAGTGTCCAGCTGGGCCGAGGTCCAGGCACAGGGGTCTCTTCTCTGACCAGGGCAGTGGCAGCTGCTTGATAGGTTATTGTGCTTAGTTTTCATCACGAATGTTTAAATGGTATATGTGTTCGCCTGTCCCGCTCTGATGATGTCATCCACACAGGACTGCGCCAGACCGCAGTACGGGAAGTGGATCAGCTGTCTGACGACAGACTCTGATTGGATGGTAAGCATATGTAGAGGGAAAGACGGATTTGATTGGATTGTAACAGGGGTGGGAAAAAGCTGCTTGTAATTGGATGGTATGTGGTAGTGGGTGGAACATTGATCTTTGATTGGTTGGAGGAACGGATACCAATGCGAAAATGTCCAAGACCTTCTAGCAGATGTACTGGAGTGTCCAGTCAGTGTGTCTGTATTAACCCCTCTCTCTCAGTGCAGTGTTAATGTACTGGAGTGTCCAGTCAGTGTGTCTGTATTAACCCCTCTCTCTGTACAGCTGTGTGGGGGAGGCCCTTCTCTGTCTCTCTGGCACCTGCGCTCCATCACTCCCACCACTGTCTTCCCCCTGTCTGGATGCCAGAGAGATGCAGCCTTCTACCAGGACCTGGTGAGAGAGGGGACTGGGAGAGGGAGGGAGACTGGGAGAGGGAGGGAGACTGGGAGAGGAAGGAGGCTGGGAGAGGGAGGGAGGGAGACTGGGAGAGGGAGGGAGACTGGGAGAGGGAGGAGACTGGGAGAGGAAAGAGGCTGGGAGAGGGAGGGAGATGGAGAGGGAGGAGACTGGGAGAGGGAGGGAGGCTGGGAGAGGGAGGAGACTGGGACAGGGAGAGGGAGGGAGGCTGGGAGAGGGAGGAGTCTGGGAGAGGGAGGGAGACTGGGAAAAGGAGGGAGGGAGGCTGGGAGAGGGAGGGATGATAAAAGGGGAGAGAGGGAGGAAGAGGAGGGAGAGGGTGTCCAGGAGATGTGTGAAGAAGAGTCAGGTGTTGACGAGGGTGCTGACCCACGGAGGCTCTCGGACTCTGCGTCTCGAATGCGCCTCAGTACAGACCTCTACACTACACAGCTCATCCAGAACATCCTCCTGTCCGTGCAGCACAGGGAACATGCTTTCCTCCGCCCGAGTGTGTGTGTGTGTGTGTTCCTCTGTTCGGGCGTCTGCCTGACCTGCGTCCCCCCCTCCCTCTCCCGGCAGATCCTGTCTGTGGGCGACAGCGCCTTCCTGTCTCACTGCCAGCTCAACGGGGAGCCCCGCGCCCACATTCCCTGCACCCCCCAGAGCCTGTACACCCTGGGTCTGAACACGCGCTCCTCCGAGCACCGGGTCAGTACCTGTGTTTCTCGCCTGTTCGTGGGTCCTGCGGGGCGGGTTTCCTGTCCAGCCGCCGCAGGAAGGAGCTCTGGACTCAAGGTGTTCCTGCCTGTGTTTCCAGGTGCTGACAGTAGGGGGCAGCAGTGGGCAGATCGATGTCTTCACCAACTTCAGCTACAGAGCTTTCTCCTTGTCCTTCTGACGCGTGACGCTGGCGTGCGGACTGCTTCTTTCTATGCTGTTTTTGTAAAAATAAAGGCTTTTATAGAACCCTGTGGCTGACAGTTTTATTTTGATCCGTGTATATGCCGTCTCGGAATCCGGGCGTGATATTTTCGAGGATGATGAACGTCTGATTGTGGTTTGTTCCTTCCTGGAAGTGATCCGGTTTACAAGGAGCAAAAGCCTGTATCTGCAAGTGCTCACAAGCCACGGAGGTGTATCCTTGGACTCTTTTAAAGGTGTGGTTTGCATCGAGAGAGGGGTCGTCTATGTACGATGTACTGCTCTGGTACATTAACACTGCACTGAGAGAGAGGGGTTAATACACACACACTGACTGGACACTCCAGTACATTAACACTGCACTGAGAGAGAGAGGGGTTAATACACACACACTGACTGGACACTCCAGTACATTAACACTGCACTGAGAGGGGGGTTAATACACACACACTGACTGGACACTCCAGTACATTAACACTGCACTGAGAGAGAGGGGTTAATAGACACACTGACTGGACACTATTTACATTAACTTCACTCGGAGACAGATCGGGCGCCGCGGTGAGGCGATATTGCCTGTAGGACGCCGACGGTCCTAATCCGTTTCTCTAACAGCGCAGGTAGATTGCGTTTTCTTTCCGATACCTTTTTTAAATAAATAGTTACAGTTATGAATGACAGGATTCCGGTGTGTTGGATCGAAAATACTAACGCGAAATAAGTCGCACTGCTACAGTGGATTTTGAAGAAGCCGGGGAAACGTCAGGACTTTCAAAACACGGTTTCTGAAAATAACTGAGCGTTATCAAGTCCCAGTAAGCAGACGGAGTCCCGAAACGCGCGTAGGAGAGGAATTTGTGTTGGAGAGTCGACGCTGGGGAAAGAAAAAAAAAAGAAAGAGAAGAAAAATCCTGAAGGAGTGGCCTGAGCCCTTCCAGAGAACAACAGGAATTGAATGGGAGAGAGGAGGGGAGACGGGGAGACAGAGAGGAAAGGAAGTGCAAGAGGAGCCCAGTGACAAGCGTGGCCTAAGGCGGCGGCCGCCGAGCAGCTGTGTCATTCCCAGACCCCGCTCTTTCCTAAGCCGACTCCCCCGGGGTGGAGGCGGCCGGACGCGGGCCGGGAGAGAAGAGGACTTGGGGTGGGGGGCTTGCGCCGTCCCGGAGCTGGAAGCTAGTTTGTGTCTGCCCGTCTGCATATAAGCCGCAGCGACCCTTCGGGAGCCGGATTACGACTCGTGTCTCGGGGCTGCTGTCTGAAGTATTTTCGGCAGTTCGGGTAAGTAGTTTCCGACTCCATGAGTTAGAAAGTTGTTACCGACGGTGAAACGGTGTTTGTTCCGGGGACTCGTCCGCCCTCGGGACTGAAGCCGGCTGTTACAAGAACATGTTTTTTTTTTT